CATAGGAACCAGAAGCCCTAAAAAGCAGGACCTCCTCTAAGGTTCTGAGAAATTATCTAAGCCCAGGCATCCCAGAGTACCATACTTACAGGGAAATGGTGGCTCAGGAAAATGTTAATATATTTGGAAAAAATTAAAACAGACCAGAAAATTTTAAATATGGTATAAATCCCATAATCTCCCACCCCTAGATCTTTAATAAAGTATATTTTTGGTTTTTATTAGCCATCCCAAGGGTTAGGCTGGGGCAAAACAGGGTTTCCTCTTTTGGACGTGCTTTATCTGTGTCCTCTTGCCTGGCCAAGCCCTTATAGATTATGATTCCTTATCGTTTAGTAAGATCAAATTTCTAAATGATGTTTCGTTCCAGTTGAACATTCTTGGAGGCTTATCTCTTCCCTGGCCAGATGCCGGATCAGATGAGAAGCCCGCCATGATACTGTCACAGTGCCTAGAATGGGCTCTTTATCCAGTAGACATCACTGTACTTTTTGATGATAACGAGGGCAGTCTTAACTTGTGTTAAGGCCTGTGTATAGCATTGAAGGTAAGTATGAAGGAGTTGTTGCTATGTGAATATCTTAATCCTGATACACACATTTTAATATATAGTATCTCCAATTTACCATGATATACATATAACTGACATCTAGCCATCCTTTTTCAATAGGACCTTTTTCAATTGAGGACCAGTAGGTCTTCATAAAATGGCCTATTTAGTGAGGGCCATAATTGGATCCTTCTTTGTAACACTTGCCATTGCTTTGATTTACCTTTATTAATCATTTTTAATCATTTCTGGTAGTTTTGCAAAAAGGATTTGTGGTCGTGGTGTATGTCAGTGACAGGAAGGACACTGTATTTGACTCTGAGGTTTAGACTATTTTGGTTAGAAATAGAAGCTTAACAATAATGATTTTGAGTGTCTTAAAAATCAAACAGCTTCTTAAATAAATCAAAATTATTTAGTAGCCTAATACTTAGACTCTTGAAATTATTAAAGAATATTGGGGATCATCTTGTCCAACCCCTCACTTTATAGATGGGGAGACTTAAGCCCAGAAAGGCAAATGACTTGCCCAAGGACACCTAGCAAGTTAGTGGAATATATGAGGCTAGGAGCCAGATTTCCTGATGCCCTTTGTATAAGAAGCCAAGTCTATCCAATTAGTAGTTGGGAATTCCAGGCTGTACAGTAAAAAGGGGAGCTGACTTCTGTTGACCTGTCAGAATGTCTGATGGCATTGACTCCGCAGGGAAATGATCATGGTCATAATAATGAGAATGATTCCTGAAAAATGGTCTCTACATTCTCCATTATGCTATGACAAATGTTCTGTATTCTTTCAATCAGCGTTTACTATGCACCTACCTTGTGCTCCATCCTGACCTTGATAGTTGCACATCACAGCCAGAGAAGACATGGCCTCTGCCCTCGAGTTGCTCATAGTGTAGTTGAGAACGAGGTATCCCTGGAAAACATGATGTAGAATTTCCTGTGGAATGTTCATACCTTTCCTAACTCTGTAAATTTTGTTGAAAGTGGTGAATCTTTGGCCCAAAGACTTAGCTTTCTCTTGGTGGTTTAGTTTTTTGGAGTCCCATAAGACAGCGTACCTTTTCTCTCTGTAAGAGTGTGAGATAATATCAAGTGCAACTAAATGTAGATTACAAAACACTTGTTAAGGATCTGCTGTCTGCAAGGCACTGTGCTAGACACATAGGGATATGAAAAGTGATTAAAACAGAACATACTTTCTTTCTGATATTTTAGAACAATATTGTTTCTAGCTTTTAAACTTTGTTATGCCAATTATTTCTAATAAATATTCTTAAATGTGGGGGCTCTTGAAATAGAAGGCAAAATATCTGTACTCAAATCCAGACTTGTCAGCCTAGGATTCAAGGTCTCCATTCAAATCCTTTCTCGAACCCCCCTATCTCTTTTGAGCTTTCTTTTTCCTTTACTGCAGCCAAGCCAACCTGCTTGCCAATCCCTGCACACAACTAACTCTTGCTTCTGTGCTTCTGCTTGACTAATTCTGCTTCTGAGATGCCTTTTTCCCCGTGAATCCATGTCCATCACTGCCATTACAGTCTGGCCCCAAGTCCTGCAAAGAAGCCTGTGGTCAGCGTCCCTGTCTCCCTTTGTGTCCCTCCCACTTGTGCACAGCTCATACGAATGGTGAAGGAACATTTCTGTGGTGTTCATTAAAATTTCCCATTCTCTGTCCACATCTTGCTGATCTAGATGCAATAGATTGTAAATGAAACAACCCAGTATAATCAAGTCATTTACTAAATCTTTTAGGAGTGACTTTCTAAATCAAAGATTGCATTTTGGTATTTGTGGGCTGCTAGTTATAAGATAGAGAAGGAAAAAATCAGAAAAGTTAGGATGGAAACATAGGAAAAATGAGCCTGTGGGCCATAAGGTAAATCAGGTACCCATCTGTAAACCAGCCTCTCTACTCCCAGACGGAGTAAGAAATCTCCTTTAAACACATTTCAAATACAGTTAGGGGGTGTACTGATGAACCGTCAGATTTAGGGAAAGCAGAACTCTGCCTGTTAATCATCTCAAACTTGTCAATCTGCTATTCTGTAATTCTTTCAATATTGTTCAGTGTGTGTGTGTTTTATCTTCTGAACTGACTTAAAAATGCTTCTTGAGGACAGGGACCATGTCTTTTATTTCTTCTGCATATTCTTCTCCCACTGATTCCTAACTAACATGGGGAAACCTTTTGTAAAGCACATAAGAGACAGAAGCTGCATCCTGTGGGTTCCAGCTGCATCCTAGCCATTATACTGCAGATTTATACACACCGTAGCCTTCTGCCTCATGTCAGCTTCTCTAGCGAGGTGGCCCTTTACACAGAAGGCGACTGAAATCGAGACAGTCTCAAGGTCTTTTAGCCAGTTGAGTGGTGGATCCAGAATCAGAGCACAAGTCTATCTGACTCTGAAACCTATGAGCACTTTTTACTATACCACAGTAATATTAATGTTCGAGTCCTGTGCAATTCACAGAACTCTGATCTACATCATTATTATTACTATCACTACTGCTACTGTAACTCCTCATATCATTGCTAGGAAATAGGTAGAGCTAGTATTATAATAACCCCCATTTCACAGATGGGGAAACAGACTCAGAGACTTGCCCAAGATCACACAACTGGTAAGTGAAAGAATCAGGACGTCTGACAGACTTCCTGACTCCAGATCGTTTTGTTCTTTCCATGACATCACATTGCTGCCTTAATTCATTTGCACGAATGCATGATTGATTACATGGCCAGTTTTCACTGATGCCTTTCCAACAGGAATGTCAATTAGTCCAGGCATTGCATGGAACCATGTGGGAAAGAAAATGATTTATAACTTCAGAGGGGCTTCCATTTTAATGGAGGGGTGATACAGAGCATCCAAAAACTAATTGCTTGAAGAATAGTTCACAAGTGAAAATTCAGATATGGGGCCTTTCGTTCCATAAATGAATTCCCTAATTTGGCCACAAAACTAGTATAATATCTTTAATGATTTCTTTTGTAAAATTGGATTAGGGAGTAAGGATGAAGCTAATAGATTTGACTTGAAAATATTCCACCTGGTTACATGAGAAAGTACTAGGTACTTCATATAAGTTACAGTCCCTCTATTCCCATCCACCAATCCTGCTTATATCTATCCCTACACTTTTTAGCCTGTACCCCTCTTTATTGTGCCCTTAGTTCACCAAACCCTTTTTTGACCTTTTTTGACCTTTTCTTTTGGAGAGGTTTTTGCTATAGGGCGTGTGCACTCGCCAGAGAGACAGAGAGAGACAGACAGAAAGCGAGAAATCACCCCGTAGCAGGGATGGCCACGCCGCAATCCCTCCTCCTCCATTCTCCTCTTAGGATCTTGGGCACGCACACACACACATGCCCAGCGTGAGTTTAAGCCACCAGGTCCAGGACTCGAACCGTAGTCAACTACATGGGAGTCCAGCGACATAGCCATTACACTAACTGCTGGTCCCAACCCTTTTGACCTTTAAACTTATCCTTCAGTGTTTCATTTCAGGAAGTTGTCCCCCTTCTCCCTTTGCATCAGTTACTAGTATGCAATATCTAATATCAATGATTTCTTTTGTAAAATTGGATTAGGGAGTAAGGATGAAGCTAATAGATTTGACTTGAAAATATTCCACCTGGTTACATGAGAAAGTACTAGGTACTTCATATAAGTTACAGTCCCTCTATTCCCATCCACCAATCCTGCTTATATCTATCCCTACACTTTTTAGCCTGTACCCCTCTTTATTGTGCCCTTAGTTCACCAAACCCTTTTTTGACCTTTTTTGACCTTTTCTTTTGGAGAGGTTTTTGCTATAGGGCGTGTGCACTCGCCAGAGAGACAGAGAGAGACAGACAGAAAGCGAGAAATCACCCCGTAGCAGGGATGGCCACGCCGCAATCCCTCCTCCTCCATTCTCCTCTTAGGATCTTGGGCACGCACACACACACACATGCCCAGCGTGAGTTTAAGCCACCAGGTCCAGGACTCGAACCGTAGTCAACTACATGGGAGTCCAGCGACATAGCCATTACACTAACTGCTGGTCCCAACCCTTTTGACCTTTAAACTTATCCTTCAGTGTTTCATTTCAGGAAGTTGTCCCCCTTCTCCCTTTGCATCAGTTACTAGTATGCAATATCTAATATCACAAAGTGCTTCAGCACAGTCAGTTAGAACTAGAAGACGTATATTATAAAATATACATAGGGTTCATGTCAGTGCTAGAGAGAAGTTTTCATGGAAACAGATTGTTTCAGTCCTCACTGAACATATCTACCTGATTGTCATGCAGGCACCTCAGTCTCTTCATGTCCTAAAAGATGTAGCATCTCCCCACCAAATCTGTTCTTGTGTTCTAATTACAGAGAACAGTGTTACTGTCCGCTTAGTCATCTGAGCTGAACCCATAGGGATGTTCTATTCCTGGTCTCCTACACCAACCCTTGCCCTTCCAGTGGGTGATCAGATCTACCTCAGATATGTTTCCTTTTCTTTCCCCAACCTAAGCCTCAGTGCAGCTTTCTGTCTTCTCTCCTACACACTGTTACAGTGACCTCCTAATGGCTTGTGTCTCTGCCACCTACTTCAGTGTGTCCATCACACTGTTGCCAGAAATACTTTCTTATAAGACATACCTAGTCCAACACTCTGCAGGGGAAAATCTAATCTCCCAACTTTCACATTTAAAACACTTGAATATTGGATTCCAAACGACCCTTGCAGTCTTACCTCCTGCCACTCCTGCATTGAGCCTCACCACTCTCCAACTTTGTGCCCTTTTCCAGCTGCATGAGGGCACAGAGAGAGAAAAGATGCACTGACACAGTCAAGAAGACTTCCAAACCACACAAGTCAGTGAGACAAGGAGTCAGTCTGTATAAAGAACACTTTATACAGTTCTCTTTGGCCTAAAATGTTCTGTGCCCTCTGCCAGGCAGAGGGTGTCCCTGTCCATACTCGCCAGGTAATTTGGTCAATACTTCATGTCAGGAGCTACCACAGTTCTTTGTTCCTAACTCTTATAGCATTTACCCCATCATGGCCTAAGTTATTTTTCCTGTATTTGTTTTACCTGCTCCTCAAGGGCAACAGCTACCCCTGTGTACAGTCTTCCTTTTCTTCTCAATATATGACCTAGTTCCTATCACATAGATAGTGAACAGATATTGGAACAGATGAAACCAGTGTGCACCTCCAGTGTAGTTAGAGCAGTTAGTCCAGGTATGGTATGTGTCAAAGAGCAGTAGGCTGGGATTCTGGGATTCAGAAGACCCAGATCCAACTCTCCCACTACATAAGTGACCTTGGGGAAGTCACTCAGTCTCCCTAACCAAAGAAGGGGGTTGGACTAAATGATCTCTCAGGCCCCTTCCAGCTTTAGGTGTTGTGATTCTGGCCCACTTCTTGATTAGGAAACACTTTTCCTACCTCCTAACATTCAGGATCCTCAACTTCGTTGTTGGATGTGGAGTCAGCCATCCGCATTTCCCAAATAGATTTTTCTAACTCTTGGGAGTAGTGTTCTGATACTAGCCAGAGCTGCTGATTAGGCTCTTGTGGCTTATCCAGTGACCACTAAGCTGTTCTCGTCCCTCCCTAGGAGGTTTCACTGCGCCTGTAGCACCATCACTGTTGTGTGGCTGTCCCTTCCCAGGAGGGAGCCTTCTTTGTGCTAGCCTGAGGAGACGGGGAGAGGAAGTTCTATTATTTCCCTCCACTCCAAATCCCACCGACATTACAGCTGCTGCCATGTGGGTTCTTGGTTAGAGATGTGTTTTCAGGAGGTGATGCCTGTTTCTGTAAGAAATAAAGTTTAAGCAGCTCATGGGCCCTCAAGGGGCTACTCTTAAGTATACTGCTGACCTTTGGGGGGTGGGAGGAGGCCTAGAGTTAGCAGCTCAACAGGTTCATTTCTCATAATCTCCATGTAATAAATAAGAGCCTATGAAAAGATTAAATAAATCTTTCCTAATGCTTTTTGATTGGCTTAATCAATAATTAATCATCTTTTAGATGAGGCTGTAACTCGTGGAGTAGATATAATTGGATTAACTGAAAAGAGGCAGTTGGGGAGCTTTGAAGAGATTAAAACGGCCGTCAATCCCATAATTAAGCTGCCACAAACAAAAGCAGTGGTGTTTTTAAAAAGAAGGAAAGAAATTGAGAGAGAGAAGGAAAGAAAAGTTTGAGAAGGCCAACTGATTTGAAGTGAATCAGCAAGTACTTATGTATCACTGGAGAGTGTGAAGGCAAAATGAAATCCGACAGATTTATTCCACTGAGTGAAGTGCATACATATCAAATCAGCCACTTAATTGTGTGCCTCACCCACTGGGGCAGGTGAAATTTTGTTAGCTTTAACTTCACTAAAACAAAACGAATCCACAAAGGGGGGGGGAGTTAATTATTCAAAACAGAGGAGACCTGCTCCTTGTCCTGAGCCCATTTAGACCTTGACTTTTCCTAGTTTAATTGGCTTAGTAGGTTTGGCCTGTGTGAATGAAGTCTTTTATCTCCCTCTTTTTCTTTCCATGCCCCTTTCATCTTTGCTATTACAAACACACAGAGAGAGCTGGGGGGAAAATACTTTGGTTTTTAAAGACTTTCTTTTTTAAAGGATGTGGATTGGGGTGGGGGAGGGGCGTGTGTGTGATGCTGGTGAATACTTTTTTCCTCTCTTTTATCTCTTTTTCCAGAGAGGAGTTGCTTAAACCAATGGGACTAAAACCTGATGGGACAATAACGCCTTTGGAGGAAGCACTCAACCAATACCCTGTCATCGAAGAAACCAGCTCTGACACAGACTAAAAGCATCACCTGCTCAACTCTCAATATTGCTTTTATCAGCATCTTTTCTCTGTAGCTCCAGGGGAATCTTTTCTCTAAAACATTTATGCCCTGCTTTGGCTAGAAACACATTAACTGGTTTACTCATTGAGAATCCAGCATATTTAAGAGGTGATCCTGTGTTTTTTGCAATATTGAGGCATTCATACAGAGCTGCAGTTAGATGGAGTTACAGGGGCTAGAAGTAGGAAGAAAAAATCATTCCATCTTATCAGAATGGAATGGAAGGACTTTGTTCTATAAAGCAGCCCTGGTTGAATCTAGCAATCCTGTTTGCCAAGATTCTTAGCAGAAGATTTAGCAATGTCCTTCCTCACACTTGTGCAAACTGCCCCTTCTGAATCTCCAGCCACTGGAGGCATGGAAGAAGCAGAGTGAGTTGGTAAACAAGGGTGGAGGCAATCACTCTCTAAAGCAGGACTGACTACATGGAAGCCAGGCAGCTGCCCCAGACCCGAACGCCTAGCCCCATTCTTCATTTCAGTTTTGTATCAATATATAGAAACACACACAAACACACACAGAGCCCCAGACTTACAAACTGATGACACTCTAAATGTTTGTTGGTCACTTAGCTTCAACATCAGAATACATTTCTCCCTACGAAGAGTTATAAATGATGGTTTAGTTCCCAGGCAGCTACAAATGCCTATTTATTCCCTCAAGTACCTGAACACTAGTACCGTAGAACTGAACCACCATCTGTACACTGCATGGGGAGCATGCATTCTGAGGGCTACCTTGGGGTGCCAGAACACACACATCCTCTATCTCACCAGACGTAATAGGGACTCCCTGGGTATAGGAGTTCTTTCGTGGCCTCTGCTGGGGCCGGGGAGTCAGCAGCACCTATCTGTATATATAGGTCATTCATACATCATGTTTTAAATTGGGGACTGTATGTGTGCTTGTGTGTGTGTGCTACCTTTCCACCGTATGTCATCAGTTTAATGGTAACTTTATTTATTTAAAAGAAAAGAAACACAAATAGCTACTATTAAACTGATGGAGGTTGTTTATTTTTACTGTTAGAATTGGTCATTCTGTGAAGTGAAAACTGAATCATGCAGTAGACAGTGGGCCTAGCTGATCAGTGGCTACAGTTGAAAGGGGTTGGTTTCCTTATATATGTATGTATGTATGTACGTGTATGTATATACATACGTACACATATATACACACACATAGATAATGTGCTTAACCACTGCCTTTTAAAAGTTGAAATAAAACATTGGGGTTGATTCAATTTAGCCATTTGTGCGTGTTTCTTTGAAGATACGTGGGCTAAACTACCGCACAGTCGATGCTTATTTAAAATGCTCTCACATCCTTAGATCACTTACCATCATCATAACCTTTGTAAGGATAGGTAAAGTATGTGGACGTTAGTGAAAATGCCACTTATCCAAAAGTTACTTCTCTGGCAAAGCAACAAAAAAAGAAATTAAGTTTTAAAAGGCCTTTGATCTGGCAGAAGAAATGACACAAAATTTAACAGTTTACTCATGAGAGAGATCTTCAAGAATATCACTCTTAGCCACTTTGCTAAGATCTGTGTACATTTCCAACATGTTTAGTTATCCGGCTTCCAAGCCCCCAAGGAGGGAAAAAAAAAGGCAAAGCAGGAGGTGGCTAGATTGAAGATAGGCATACTGGAAGCAGCAAAAAGAATTAAAAATGAAAACTAGGTAGCAAGATGGGAAGAGTAAAAATAACTGTCCCAGGAAAGCAAGTCTGAGACCGAGGCTGTTTACCAGAGCTACTCTACTTGACCCAGAAAATAGGTAGACAGCAGTATGGCCTGTAGACCAGTTCTCATAAAGGTGACCCTGACTTTCTTTCAAAGAGTAAGTTAAATCCAGAATACTTCATAAAAGGCTGGGAAGAATATGATATATTAATAGGATTTTCATCCAAAATAGTTGAGCGAAAGGTTGTAGATAACCCATGCTTTAAACAATAGCAAATAAAATGAAACGGCCATTCGTAATATTAGACTAAATGAAAAGCTTAGAAAAAAGAATTTAAGTATTTTTGTTATTTTGTTCTACAAATGCATTTTTAAAGTATTTTTATAATTTCTACAATCAAATAGCTTTGGCATGAGTGTCAGCTTGCCTAAATGAAGACACGTTTAATGAAATACCATTTTACTGCCTTTCTGCAGAGTGTTTGGACAGTCCTGTGTAAGTAGCTGTACTTCTGCTTTCAGTGAATTGTTTCATTTTGTGTTTCTCTGTGCTAGGCAGTGAGCTTTGTTTTTGAGGAGAGAATATGCAGGGGGTGAGTGTCACCCCATCCTGTGTAAGGAACTAGCGTTTGTCGAGCGTACATTGTGCTGGGCTTCTCGTGTATGTCATCTCACGTAATTCACCATCTCTCATGTCATAGAGCCTCTCTAGAAAGCTTCTGGAAGTTACCCACAGCCCGGCAGAGTCCAACTCTGACCACTCCTTCCCCTTTTTTACTGCACACCTGGGCCCATACGGGTCTCCTTAGGGCTTTGAAATGCAGGGAACTGAGTGGGGGAAGGGGAGGGTGGTCATTCTCAGGCCATTTTTAAGCAATAACCTTTTCAGCAGAACTGCTAGCGGGGAGGTGACCTGGGGTAGAAATGCAAGTAGGAAACCTCCTCGCCCAACGCTGGATTTCAGATGAAGGCCTGGAATCCTTGAGGACAGGTCAGAGACCAGGGCTGCAGGCTGCCCCCTCTGCAGCGGGGATGATCAGAATTCACTGGCCACCCAACTTTGCAGGTCCCTCTACCCACCTCCCTCCTGACCTTCGAAGCGGGATGGAGGAGTTTGTCCTGAAATAAGGTATTTGAGTTGCTGCTTTAGAGGAACATTCCCCTGACATCTGTGACTGTCCCCTTGCTCAGTGGTCCTGGAAAGCAGGCAGGGCAGATGCAGCTCTCCCTCCGTTATGAGTAAGGATGCAGGCGAGGCGGTACCAGTGACGCTGAACACCCCCTTCGTACCCCGTCAGTCCTGCCGCCTCCCAGGACCAAGTTTCACCTGTATCAACTTGTTTTCCCTCCGACTATAAAAGTAATATATGTTCATTGTGGAAAGTTTGGAAAAATACAGAAAATAATAAAATTAATAACTTACCCCAAATCCCACCCTGACATAATCACTGTTAATGTTTTAGTGTATTTAGTGTATTCCCTTCCTGTATTTTTTCTATGCATATATAATTTATTTTACTACAAGATTGGGATCATGCTGTATTTACAGATTTGTACCCTGCTCTCTTCTATAACATTGTGAGCATTTTCCCATGTCAATAAATATTCTTCAAAACTTAATGGCTATATGACACTCCATTAAATGAAGTATGGCAAACACTGCCAATTGCTTCCTGACAGAGAGGGCCACGTGACCTACATGACTTCCCTCCCCACTCCCCACCCCGACATCCCCGCTCCTCCCTTTTTGGGAGGCAGTATGAGCCTCATCAGCACCAAAGAGCAGCAGGGACTAGGAATGGCTCCGGGAGAACAGACTTGCTCTGCCAAACAGCGTCAACCTCCAGAGCCTCAGCAGTACAGGCCGGAACAGCTAGGCGAAGCGCCCAGATAAGCCATGGCTTTTGTCAAGGAGAGCCCTTTGAAGGTGGCTAGGGAGGCAGACGCCTGTACAGTGGCAAATAGCAACTACGTTCAGTGTGTCATCTAGTTACTGGCATTTCTCAGAGATCATTCACAGCAATTCCCGAGGTGGAGGGGGGTTCACAAGGATCGAGGGTGACATCACTCTTTTGAGGGAAAGCAAGGTGACACTTGTCAGAACTCTTGAGTATGTGAGTGAGCACAGTATGGAGAAGGAACAAGTGAATAATACTCCAGGAACAAATCATGATGGGCAGGGGTGGGATTGGTAACAGCTGTGAGAAGACTTGGAGAAGAGTTGGGGAAAGGAAGAGGTTTATAGAGAGATCTCTGATCCATTCTGCTAAGCCCATGTACCAGGTCTTAAAGAAACATCAGAGCAACCTTTAAAACAATAAAAGGTCTCACTGTGGAGATCCACCTGCCACAGCCTTCCAACTGGGACTACCAGCACTCCTGCACTGCTGGCCTTTGTTTTTAGATAGGGTCTCATATGTTCAGAGAAGCTTTTTTTTATTATTATTAAAGTGAGAAATTACCCCTCAGGGAGGATGGCTGCATCACAATCCCTTCTCCTCCATTCTCCTCCTGGGATCTTGGGCACTCAACACACACACGTTAGCATGATTTTTCAAGCCACCAGGTCTGGGGCTCGAACTGCAGTTGGCTGTGTGGGAATGCAGCAACGTAACCGCTATGCCATCTGCTGACCCCCAGAGAAGCCTTTCTTAAAGAGGGAGGGATGAAAGACAAGTCTCCATGCCTTGAACATACCTCTCTTGTGCATCTCCAGTGGTGTTAGCATCCTCTGGAGAACTGAGCAGAGAGTCGCTGGAGTCATTTCTGAGTTCTCTGGTTCAGGTGAACCCTGATCGAGAAAGCTGTCCTAAAGAAAAGCTCAAAATTTTTCTCCAAGTCTTCTGGAGTCAAGAGTTGTGGGGGTTTGGTTTTTTAATGCTACACAGAAGATCCTAAGCCATAGCTTCACTATATCCAGGTCTCGTAGACCTTCACCTTTTCTGCACCAAACATCATCATAATAGCTGCAAATATTTATTGAACAATTGCTGTGCCAAACACTGGCTAAGCAATTTACATGCACTTTTCTTTCTCTTGCTAATTTTAAAAATTGTTCTTATTTTTACATTCAATCACTATATATCTTGACAACATACAAAATGAATTTTCCCAATGCGAATACACCGTTAGTCCAGTCAATGATAGTACCATACATGTTATCATCAACAGATGATTTTCCATTTCCATTGAATGTTGTGCTTTTATTCCCCTTGATCCCCTCCCACCGCCACCTCCCGTATCCCCTCCTCGCACACTGTCTCTCGCATCCACAGTTGCTTTCCAGGGTTTTATGCCTTCCAGTCTCAGTTTCTGCCATGGAGTACATGCACATTCTAATTTCTAATTCTTTTTTAAGAATTTTTTTTTATTTAACTTTATTCATTTTCTTTTATTTTTCGATCAGAGAAGGAGGGAGAGAGAGGAAAAGTGAGGAACCAAGCCGCCAGGTCTGAGACTCGAACTGTGGTCGATCGTGTGGGAGTCCAGCACCCCTAGACACCACTCTACCAGCTGGCTTCGCACGTTCTTCTTTACTCTTTGTCACAGTCTTACAACAGCTCCCACTGTTCGGATGAGAAAACAAAGACGTTGAGTCCTGTGTGTAAGGCACACGGCCTTGGCTTATTTGCTATACATACTGCAAAATTTGAACTCGTTTGTCTGATGCTGAAATCCACGTAAATATTATGCTGCTTATGTACTGCTTTTTTTAATTGGAAAATTGCAATGAAGGCTGACTTGGAAGAAAAAAATGCCAAGAGACTGAAATGTGAAATCCAGAATTAGGAAGATAATTGGAACACATTTTCTCACTTCGTCTCCCTATCTACTATTCTCGGACTCCCATACAGGACCTTGTATCAGAAAAAGGCCATATTCATGAGGACCCAGTCCATACTAGTTTGTCTAGTAAACAACTATTGGTTATCAGCCGTGCGCCAGGTACTGCTCAAGAGGCTTGGGACACAGATGACTGAAAGTCCCTATCCTCACAGTGTCATAGCCTGAGAAGTCCATAACCACAGTCTGAACTGTTACAGGATGCCAGGAGCAGTATGGCTAACTGACCAGGAGGAGTGCGGGGTGAATAGCAGCTGCATAAGCGCCATTTGAACTTAGCCAGGTACCGGAGAAAGGCTGTCTGCTCCAACAGAACTGGCTCGAACAAAAGCTCAGGGCAAAAAGGAACATGATGTGTTCACAGAGCACAGAGGTTGAGTGCGACAGACCCGAGGTAGCTCAGCCTTAAATTGGGACACGAGACTGGCAGTATTTCAGACAAGGAAAAGACACAATATCACTCTGGCTGCAGGATAGGGAATGGATTGGAGAAGACAGACGGTCCACCGTGAAGGGACCAGACAAATGTGTTCCATCAGAGTATGTGAAGGCGGGCAGACCAGGACTAAGGGATGGCTCCCGGAAACACACAAGCTGTAATCAACAATCCGGGCCTAGAGAAAAGCAAGAAAGATCTCATTCAAACTCAAGCACGAGGGAACCAGCAGTTAGCATAATGGCTACGTTGCTGGACTCCCACGTAATCGACTGCGGTTCATGTCCCAGACCCGGTGGCTTAAAACTCACACCGGGCACGTGTGCATGTGTGCCCAAGATCCCAAGAGAATGGAGGAGAAGGGATTGTGGTGTGACCTTCCCCCCTGGGGGGTGATTTCTCGCTTTCTGTCTCTATGTGTCTCTCTCTGTCTGTATGGTGAGCGCTACACGCCCTATAGCAAAAAACAAAAACAAAAACCCTCTCCAAAAAAAATCTCGAGCACGAGAATGCCTCTGGGCATAAAACATGAGCTCCCAGTTCTGGACTAAGCACCTTTGAGTTTAGGAGCAGGAACATGCAGCTGAGATTATTACAGGAGTCTGCAAATTTGTATGGTCGCTTTTTGGCTGAGTAGCACCATGGCGGTTGGCAAGAATAAGTGTCTTATGAAAGGCAGCAAAAAGGGAGCCAAGAAGAAAGTGGTTGATCCATTTTCTAGAAAAGATTGGTATGACATGAAAGCACCTGCTATGTTCGACATAAGAAATATTGGGAAGACACTAGTTACCAAGACTCAAGGAACCAAAATTGCATCTGACAGCCTTAAGGGCCATGTGTTTGAGTGAGCTGTGCAGATCTGCAGAATGACGAAGTCGCATTTAGGAAATTCCAGCTAATTACTGAGGACGTTCAGGGCAAAAACTGCCTGACTTCCAGGGCATGGATCTCACCCGTGACAAAATGTGTCCCATGGTCAAAAAATGGCAGACCATGATTGAAGCTCCTGTCGATGTCAAGACTACCGATGGTCATTTGCTTCGTCTCTTCTGTGTTGGGTTTACTAAAAAACGCAACAATCAGATACGGAAGACCTCTTATCCCCAGCATCAGCAGGTCCGCCAAATCTGGAAGATGATGGAAATCATGACCCGGGAGGTGCAGACAGATGACTTGAAAGAAGTGGTCAATAAACTGATTCCAGCAGCATTGGAAAGACATAGAAAAGGCTTGCCAGTTCATCTACCCTCTCCAAGACGTCTTCGTCAGGAAAGTCAAAATGCTGAAGAAGCCCAGGTTTGGATTGG